ATACGGCTTTTTTTTTTTTAAACTCCAGTCTCGTGATCTCACTAACTGCGGCGTTATCTTTGCATCGCTGTGGCAACGCCTCCAGGTAACAAGGAGATTAGAAGCAGTCAGAGGCCCATGTACCACAGCAAAGCTTTAGCAAAAGGGGGTCTTTAAATATTTAAGGTGTGAGTACGATCACACATTGTTACTCTGTGAAGAGTGGGGAACAAAGAATACAAATCCTTCCCTTGGAAATCATTTACATTTCATTGCCGAGACGCTCCTCAGACTGATGCAACTTCTCAGTGCTGAATGTGAGTTTTTTGTACACAAGCATGCACATTTTAACTTGTGTGGCGCTAACTATTGCTGCAGAATAAACAGGAAAAAGCATGTCCTGTGAGTAATCTGTCACTGCTAATGCAATTTTAATGCACTTTTCATGTTGGCAACCACATCAATAATTCGTGTGAGAGAAATAATAAGCAAACAAATAACACATTGTGCAAGAAGGAGCAGACTTCTCCGGCCTCTTGTCAAAGTCAATTAGAGTCCACAGGTAATGACCCTATTTGCATTGTAAACCAGGCCCTTGTGTGAGAGGGCTAATGGGGCCACTACCTGAGGAGATTAATTGAAAGTGACATTACTTGAACTCTCCTCTTTTTTTTCCTCCTTTCTTACACAGCCCTCTGAAATATCCTCTCATCTTATTTTTATGTCGTGCCACAAAGTCTAAACATCGAGGGTGAGTCTTTTTAAACTTTGACACAAGGGAAGGGGGGAGGGAGGGGGTGAGGGCACTGTGGGGCTGAGAGTGCTTCTTTTTCTCTGAGGAAAAAAACGTATGACTGTAGGCTTTGTTCTATTTTAAAGCTACTATGAAGATTTTTATTATGTCTATAAAATAGTTTATGTAACTGGATTTCATGTTGATCCCTTTTCATGATATCCAAAAGCAAATAAAACCATTTGGATGTTGCCGTTTATAACACCTGAAACTGGTGAGAGGGGGTAGTCGGTGTCAGCTGAACAGCTAAAGAAAAAGCCCTAATCTCACAATCTCCATGAAAATGATAGATTTAATAATCAAAAGTGAGCAGGGTGAGATATTTTATTGTCATTTAAAGGTAATCAAAAACTGCTTTGTCCACAGGGGGCGCCAAAGATGACACAAACTAAAAGTTCCTCACAGGAGCTTTAATCTATTTAATTTGTGAGCAATAATGAGACCTACAATAAAAGCAAATTATAAAGGGGTTATATTACATAGGGTAGGGATGTGGCGTAGTTTTTGTCAAAAAATGACTAATAGATTAATTCAAAGTTTTTCCTTGAGTTCTAACTTTTCTTGCATATGGGCATCTAACATACAGCAACCGTGACATATGTAGATATATTATATCTATAATCCAGTATGACAGATGCCATATTGTATGAGTGAATGTTATTCTTACTGTGGTCAGGGTTTGCACAGATGCTGACAGTTATCACATCTGTATGATTAACTTTAATGGCTGACAACAGAATACCATAAATTTATCAAAATGAAACACCTCAATGCTAACAGCCAGATAATGATGGCTATTATGGATCCTATGGATTGACAGAGGGCTGGAGGGGGAAGCGCATGTAGCCACATTTGCTGTCATTTGACAAAAAGAAGCATTGATGTTCCATCTGGAAAAAAAAAAAACAGATGGCAAATAAAAAGAGGTATCACACATTACTGCCACCCCCACATGTCCTGTCTAATTAGTCATATTAAAGGTAATTATAATACGGTTATAATCTTATCAGTCTGCAACTCTCAGGTCTGGATTCTGTATAAAAATGAAGGAAACAAAACACCATTAATGCCGCCATCTGCTATTTTTCTCATGCAAAGCCAAAGCAAAAGCTGTAATCTGTTCAAGTGCAGAAGACAAGTTGTGCCGGGCCCAATTGTGCAGAAAGAAAGGATAGATGGATGGATGGAAGGATGGATGTGGATGGATGGGTACAAGGCTACAGGGAGGAGGTAGCCGCCGCCACATGCTAATTTATTAAATATTGTAAGAGAAGTGACCTTGAGATCAGAGAAGAGCCAGAGCTCTCCCCAGACAGCAAACAGAAACAACGGAGCCGTCCTAATTGTGACATTACAATCCGGCACAGCGAGCGATCAGATGGGGATTGATTAGAAGAGTGGAAAGGTGGACGACTTTGTGAAAAGGTCACTGCACACTCTACCTGGAGTTTTTAATATTTCCCATCCTCCGCCACTGCTGTGAACGGGGAATAAAGTGATAGAAAAGAGGAGAAAGTACGACTCCTGACTTTCTGGACAGAGATATTTTCCCCAACGCATTAGTGAAATCAGATGGTAATTTCCTGGATGTATCCAGGCAGAAAATGATAAAAGGAAATAAAGATAGAATTGGGGGGGGTGTCTGTGCAATGGCAGCAGGGGGGCTGATGTGGAGGTTAATTGAGGGGTTAACAGGGGGGTGGTGTCGGCTGAAGGTCAGACTGCTGTTCCAGCCAGCAGGAGGTCCCTGCTCCCTGACGACCTCACTGAGTGTTGTTGGTCATGTTTCCATGTTAGTGAGAACGCCGCTGCCAGGTGAGCACCCCCGCTATTAGAGGAAGAACCGGAGGAAGAGGAAAGTGCGACACTGAGCTGCAGAGAGGCAGAGGTTGGAGGTTACAGATAAAACTCACAGTTCCTGCACAACTGCTCCAGACACAAAAAAGGGCCTTAAAAAACAGAAAAGTGTCTAATTAATTAAAGAGGTGCAGACGGGGATCTTATCTGATCGCATTAGCAACCTTAAAATTTACATTTAAGTACGTCAAGTTAAGTCAAGTCAAACTTAATTTAAATTAAGTATCAAGTATGATCAATATGAGTAAGATTCATCAAGTTTAAATCTGCAGAGGTGTATCCAAAGTCACGAATTCACACGTCCAATTCAGCTTGAAGTAGAAGAGAGAGATGGTGGTTGAGGGGTGGTAAGTCTTAGAAAGTTACATGTCACAGGTCAAGGTGCACACGAGTCCTACAGTTTAGTCACCACTGGCCGCACTGACTAGTTTGCTGTAAATTTTTCTGAATATTTCAGATTTCAGGATTTCACAGTACAAAAAAAATCACAGTTTGATACATACCTCAGTTTTGCAGTCATGGTTTGGTTCTTTTTTGGTGCTGTAAGGGTCCATCTGTCTGTCAGAGCTACAGCAGATTCCTCGGACGAATGAGATATATTCAAACACAACACAAGATAAGTCAGTCCATTTTTGATAATGTTTTATTTTCAAAAACAGATCTCTCTATGATAATGTACAAAACTAATAGAGTGCTATGAAATTTAAGTCAGAGATGAAACCAGAAAGATCAAGTCTAAGGCACAGAATAATACAATAAGAAGACAACTACTGTAGCTACATGTTTACATTTTTGCTTTTTCAGATGAATTCTTCACATTTTCTACAAAGTGTTTCCTGGACACTCATGAGCCTGTAACAAACCTGTGCTGTGAGCTAATGACAAACGTGAAAATGAGGTTTTCTCTATGTGCAGTATCTGCTGCAAAGTTGTCTATCCAACCTCCGTATACACGAGAACAGTGCACCATTAAGAGGAGCTGCACATGACAGCACATTATCTTTGTTGGCGTTTGGAAGGGACTTTTTTTTTGTAACCATTTAGTAAGCAGTGCTAATGAGGGCCAGCGTTAAGTATCATCACTTAAACAACATCAAAGCGGATCTCCGAGACAAGAAAATGACTCCACTCGTGATTCACCGCAAACTCATCTGGAGATGCACAGAATTAGAGAACGTTACGAAAAAAAGGAGAAGAAAACTGCCTTTACCCTGCATTAGTTTACCATTTCAACATGACAGCTCCAGATTCCCCTTTTTGTATTGTGACTCACTGGGCTTGATGCATGAAAGCCGCTTATATGGCAACCAGGGTCACCATTTTTTAATTCCTTATCACGGTCTTCATGAACAGAGTGCAGTTCAACAAGTCATGCTCACACAGTTTGTATGTAAATTAGCATCACAGAGGAGATGGGTACCATATACAGCTGACAAAGCTTAAAGGAAGACTCTCTTTAGAAAAAAAAGACAAGCTGTATATTGTTTATCTTAATGTGGCAGAAAACTGTACAGTAAGCCGGTCAGAACCTTTATTATCTCAAATGTGAGTATCTGCACTGTATTTCCAGTAAACCCAAGGCTTCAAAAGAGGCAATAAGGAGAGATGACGTCCAGGATCAGAAGCTTCTCAGCTATTTGTGCAGTTTCTTACTCAAAATGAGCCTTTTGAATTTAATCTTTAATGTAAAAAAGAAAAAACACCCAGACATGGACATTCTTGACCTTTGCTTTCAGAGAGTTACAGATGACGTGTTTCATGTTTCACCCTTTCAACCTCATTTCACCAGTTTCTGCTGTTCTACAGTAGATATGAGTAAATGACTCGGTGTTGCAAAACTACTATATGCAACTAAGAATGCACTAAGTGTCACATAAATCCCTTTCAGTGTAATACAGTACTAAGACTAATGTTTTTAAGCATAAAAAAACAAGCCTTGGAAATCTAAACGGCGTAAATGGAAGCGTTTTGCTGAGCGTATGCAACTCGTCGATCATCGTGACGAGGCGATTTGGACAGCATTCCTGATGTAACAATAAACTCTTTAAGACAGTTTGTGATAATATTTTGTGTACAGAAAAAAACGTCCTACACACTACATGTATAAGTGAAATGATCATATATAGTTATTTGTGGCTCCTGCTGAGCTGGTTTTGATGGAGAAGCCCAGTGTCAAAATTCATCTTTAAAAGCATGCTTCACCCTTTCACAAACACACACATATTCAACAATCATCACACAGACACACGCGCACACACATATTCTTCCGTCCGCTGCTGAATTCAAAGCGACAGCAGCAGCAGTTTCCTTCCATTTTTCCATCCAGGGTCCAGTTACCCCCCCCCCCGGTCGACCCCAGCGAAGGCCTCCCTTATGTGGGGAAGCAGATGCCGCAGCACTCCATACAGATTTCCAGGCAATCCGAGGACTCGCAGCAGGCGTCCATGATGCCACAGTCCATGTCACACGGGCAGTTGCAGTCGTCGCCCAGGTCGTCCGCGCAGCAGCAGCAGCAGCATGCCTCGGACGTGCAGGCGCCGCAAGAGGCCTGGGCCACCACCATGTTGCAGAGCGTCAGGAACTCGCAGAACAGGCAAGCCAAGATGCAGTGGACGCAGCAGTCTGGGTGAGCGTCAGACCAGCCAGGGAGGGGTGGGGTGGCAAAGTAAAGTCAATATGTGAATAAAAGAAACCAAAACTCGAACAATACAAACAAATCAAAGTGTGCGTTAGGTTTCCCCTCAAACAAGCGATTGTTACTGAAGAAACACAAGCGGAGTTAGTGCGTGGCTGATAGAAGGAAAGGGTAAAAGAAAGGGTCAGGGCTAACTAAGCAGGGGGGATGAGGAAATAAAGAGAATCCAAAGAAATCAATTCCCCTCCCGCAGTTTTGATTAACAGCGTGTTAAATAATTGTGCCATTATCATGCAAACTGCAAGGTTGATCACACAAAGGTGATTAGCTAAGTCCAAGTGTCTCCGGCAATAAATAGGTGGATTAATGCGGGCAATGCTCGTACCTCTGATTAACATTTAACCTCCTCACTGAACATCTTTAAGAAGCTGGTCGCATGCTTTAGCTTGTTGTTTCACTACAATTAAAGAGTTCCCTTTATAATGTGAAAATGTCCTGTTAGCCAGCAGGGATCTGGTTCGGAAAGGATGGATAAGTTGGGTTAAAAGGTGTCGATGAGCAAGTATATGAAATTTTTACTTCCAAACTTTCACAAAGTTTGTTGGTAATGTCATGCACACATGCAGGAAAATCATGGCGTGACAATCTTTGGATAATGCGGCGGTGAAACTTATTGTAATCATTTTGCATTTGGAATAAAACTGTAAATTAAAGGAGGCAAAGAAAGCATGACAGCCTAAAGTTGTTTGCACATTACGAGGGTGAAATGCAGAGCCGAGCTTGTTTATGCGTAGCCCAGGGATACAGCGCTGCGCTAACAACAGATAAATGTACACGATTAATGTAGTCATCAGTCATGCGGCTCCACGCTCAAACTTCTGGAGTTGTTTCTGAGTCAGTAAATCAAATTAAATATCATTGGGTAAGTGCGCCTGGCACACGCTCCTCGCAGCTGTCTCCTTTTTGAACCAAGGCCAGCACAGCGCCACTGCTTTGGAGTGTTAAAAAGACATGATGTGGATGTATGCAGAAAAATAGCATTACAAACAGGGCGCATTTGCATAACTTTCATCAGCCCATCTTGAGCTGTCAGAAGCGGCTGTTACTGATTGGGTTAGAGGGAACGTAAAAGGAGGAGAGTGTGGAGGACGAGCATGGGAAGGCAAGCTGTGGACCGCTGGATGCTCATGTTTGATTAATCAAAGGGGGATTTTTTTTTTTTTTTTTTTCTTCCTATTTTCGCGGTGCTCAGGGGCTGCAGAGCTGACCAGGAGCAGTAACTGAGTGTGATACAAACAAGATAGAGAAGGGAACATGAAACGAGCAAGTGTGTGTATATCGGTGTGTGTGTGGGTGAGTGAGTGTGCCTGAAGTTTGAATGCATCTTATTATCCTTATCTGAAGCCATAACACTAGCAGTGATGGAAGATGCATGAGAAGAGGTCCTTCAGTATTTAACACCTTTAGTGGACAGTGCGGGAGGATGCTGTCAGCCAACTTATGGGTACACCTTACTTTGGCTAAATAAAACTAATACCATTGTTTGAAGGCACCAAGGGCAGAGAAATGAAATTTTTTTGGAGTAATGGACTTTTTTGCTGGTTTCTGTCAAGCACTCTAAACCAAAAATGCAAAAAAATGTGGACATGGTATCACCTATGTGCGGGAAACATCATGGTGCATCCTCAACTACCAAATCTTCACCTGCTGCTGCCATGTCTACACACCTCTATTACGCAACTTAAAAACGACATGAAACAAGGGAGGTAGAGAGGAAAATAGCACCCTCAATCAACAAGGAGTTCTTGCAGGTCATTTTCCATCTCTGTCTGCTCATTGGAGCAACAGATCGGAGCGTCTCCTCTCCTTACGGTGTAGGAAGGAGCGCTTTAGGAGATCATTCATTCCTGCTGCTATTCGTTTTTATAATGAGCCTTGTTGATTGAAATATGTGGGGGGTTTTGTCGTGGGCTCTATTCATTGTCTTTCTTCATCTGAAATTGCTGCTGAATGACAACTCTTTCTATCTATCTATCTATCTATCTATCTATGCTGTCTGTATGCTAGCGGATTACAAATGTTATGGTGGGGTTCAGCTCACAGGTTGTCATAGTTTAGGTTCAGGTTTCTGTGTGAGACTAGCAGCCATCTCCCCTCACCCATACGCAAGGCATGCAGAAGCAGAGCTATAACACGGACAAGCGACTTTCTCATGCTTGTATTAAGCATTGTGGAGCAGAAGAGAGCGTCTAAAGAGACAGTTAAAGCTAGTCGCAAGTTGTTGTGAGCATTGATGATACATCGTCCATCAATCTGAGGATCACAGGTGCAGGGAATGATGAAACTGTGACCCACTGGATCACTAATGTGTACTGTTTCCCAACCGTCTAATCAGGATCTATTACATCTGCATCCACAGAGCACAAATGATGACACAAAACTAAAGACATGACTGCAATTCAGTGGACTTAAGTGACAATGAATGGACCTGCAGAAGAGCATGTAGTAGTTACTGATTTCAACTTTTGAACCTTAAACACTTGGAGTCTTTAACAACTTCAGCTCATATAGGCTGCAACTCTGCCAGCAGGCCATCTTATTTGATTATTCTGTAATAAAAAATTCTTTGCTTTTTGAACCATTTAGGCTTCAATCAATTTCAGAAGGCTTCTTGAACTTTCATCAACATATAACTTTTTATGATTATAAACTATAGCTTTAGTCTAGTTTAGAAAAAAAACCAAAACACAATGTCAACGTTTTTGGGCCAAATCGTCTATTTTAGCTTGCATCCAGTGTCTTGTTCTGCCCATCTGAGAGCTCTAAAAGCTGATACACAATAAATGCAGCCAGGCCACAGCTTCATACACCAAACCTCAAAGTTCATCCTAACAAAGTTTGAAAGACCCAGAGGGTATAGCCATGCCAGCGTTCACAATGTAACAGCAGACTGCGAATGCGATATAAACACAGTACACAGGCATTAAGCAGCGGCCGGCCATCTCAGCGATTCACTTGGATGTATAATTCAACACCAGCGATTAGTCTGGATCTTTGAGAAACCAGCGAGGAGGAGGAGGGGAAAGAGAGGGGGTCGTATACTGTACACAAGAGAGAGCTGGACGCAGGGCACATCTCCATGAAAACAGAGAGACAGACAGAAAGGCAGACTGAGACGCAGAGTGAAACCAACCAACAGACAGACAGAACAGCACACACTGACACTGCTCCTGTTTAATGTCAGCGCGCGGCGATGAAGCCCACAGTTTGCAAGGCCAAAAAAACAGCGTCCGGCGCCTCAGAGGAAATAGTTTGAGACATCTGGAAAGCTAACATCAAAAAAAAGGGAGCGGCATGACACAAAACAAGCTGGATGGGCCTCAGAGCGGCAAGCTGTGCAAAACATTCAAACTCACAAAGAGGGAGAGAGAGGGCAAGATGGCTGGACGGTCAGAGATACAGAGAGAGAGATTGATCAGGAGGAAGGCTTGGTGACCATGGGACTGCACAGAAGGCACACATGGGTAAGGAGGACCGAGGAGGCCGGCCACAGCGTGCACTTCTGAGAAGCCCTGTTTGAAAACATGACTGAGAGTCAAGTCAAAGCCAGAGTAACGCTTACTCATCACAAACACATCAAGGTTTCAATCTGAGGCAAAGCCTGCTCGCGGCTTTGGCCCTAAACCTCTAAATGAGGCTAAAGCAGCTTGAAGCCTTTAACTGATTACACACAATTAACAAAAACACAAACTGGATGACTAGAGTTGTGACAACCCGCCCCGCTGAATAAAAACAATGTGGCTAAATGACTCTTCAGAAGTGGCGGTGCGTTATCACAGATTGGCTCCACTGCCAACGGCGCGTGCCAAGAAACACAGAGAGCTGCAGAATCCCCAGAGCTAGCTCCAGCTAGCTTTACGCCTTTTATTTCCTGTGTTCAGGGGCCTGTTTAGGAGGCTAATTTCACAGGCAAACAGATTATGTTAATCCGTGTAAACATTCAAACGCCACAGCTTGGCTGTTTTCCGGGGGGAAATAAATAGTTGAGAGCCAACATATTGATTCTAAGAGCTCTCGCATCTGCAAATAAGCAACACAAAAAGCCATAATGAGACAGACTTGTTGAGCTGCTGTTTTTATTTTCCTTTTACACCCTCTCTCTCTCTCTCTCTCTCTCTCTCTCTTGTGCTCTTCAGCAATTAAGATGTTGAAAACATGACGTGTCTGGAATATCTCTTATGGATGTATTCCACCTTTCCTCGGGAGGTGTTGTGCTTGTGTGCATGCTGTTTTGTTTGCCTGCGCCTCCATCTGATGCATATTTAAAGTCAAGAATCATGAAACAAAGATCAGACTGCCCATTTTTCTGCTTCATTTAAGCTCATATCTTAACCCGACCGCTGTACATCATTTAATAACAAATAACACGGTCTGTTTTCCACCTTTACTCTGGAGTATAAGCCCACACAAACGCAGAAAACAGCAAAGCCTTTTGGTTGAATGAAATACAAGGATTTGCTCATTTACTTAAAAGAAACATGCTTTAACCTTCCTACTGTCCATGCAACGCAACACACATACATCCACAAACACCCACATTACCCGCCCATGTACATAGCATGAGGAGGGATGCAACGGGACCTCGTTAATAAGGGCCAGAGGTGGTGCTGACGGGATGTAGAGAGCGCCAGAAAGGGCCCAGAGAGGTGTGAGGGGCCGAGAGAGGCCTGAAGACGGCTGGTCACGACTTTTAATAGGCACCCTGTGCTCTCAGGCCTCGTTAGACGGTCACACCTATCTCCCCGATGGAAGAGGACCAGCCAACCGCCTTCATTACCGGACTCACCTAGGCCTTGCACCTGACAAAGTGACGGCTTCCCCGCATGGCAAAAGCACCCTCTGACTTGTTGTTAAGGAAAATAAACGCCACAGGAGCGGAGTAAGATGTCATTTGGTCGACGGGAGTGATAAATATGAGGGGTCATCCACTCCCATCATTAAAAGGTGAGAGAATGGAGGAATGTATTATCAATATCTGAAGAGCCTCTATTTCAGCAGGGCCCTGACAAAGAGCCCATCTCTCTGATAGTGATGTTGTGATTGTGTGCTGTTTGACTGAAACGGCACATTGACCAGCTTTAAACGATTATTCAAATTATTATTTTTATACCTTAAACCTTTTTATATCTTTAAAAAATAAAAGACTTAAAAGAGAAATATTTTGATTTAAAACAGACCACATTCACATGCTTCAGTGGTTTACACCTCAGTGTTTTGGAGCGCTGATTCACTCTGAAAAACCGCATTCAATCATGCAAACTTCAGATCATCACAAACACGGTTAGCGGCTTTGATCAAGCAGCCGATCAGATGATTTCACAAGCAACAAGCCACATGAAGCAGACAAAGAAGCATGCAAGCAAACTAGCGTTAGAAAGTTAGTAGAGGAGTTCAGTCTTGTGTGTTTATGTTGGTGCATTCGTAGACTATACCTTACAGGCTGATACTGACCTTCTGGTAGAGGCTGCTTCTGTGACCCCGTTGAGCTGCCTTTGCTGCGACGGCTGCTGTCGCTGTTCACCGACAAACTGGACCTCAGTTTCCTCTGCATCCTCGTGGACACAGGTGTTAATGGCTGCTTCCTGGGCTGCTCCGTCGCCGCCGTCGCAGCCGCCTGTGGTCTTGACCCGGTGGCACCCTTGCTGATGTTGGCGCCGCAGGAGCATGTGCGCGTGGCTCCGGCTCCGCTGATCCCAGAGTGGATTCCATTGGCATCACTTAGCACATGCGTGCCGTTATGGAGAAAGCCATTTTGGTCGTTGGCAGCGTCTCCCCCGGCAGACTCTGAGGGCACATGCTGAGCCTCAGACTGAGGCTGAGCTGGAGGGAGACATGAGAGATTACATTTTTACTCATGTACAGTGAAGGGTTGGGTGTGTAGATTTAGCACAATTAAATCAGTATTTAAGAAGTTTCCCTGCAGTATTTCACTTTTATCCATTTACTCTCCCGGAAAATCTGTAAGCTCAGAGTCTTATGAAAAGAAAACTTCATAAAGCTGAAACAAACCTTAAGATTTTTATGTTGAACACAACTCAAGTTGAGCATATTTGTTTGTTTTAACAGCATAACTTTTGTGAGAGAACATTTTTGATAACCCTGCAACTTCTTTTTAATTGAAAAAACTTTGTCTGCACCCACTTAATACTTTTTACTGACACATTAAGTCCTCCAAGCTTGTGTAGTTCAGTTCCTACAAACTCGACACGCCAGCCCTCTCAGCGAAATCAGTCTCAGCAAATCTTGCCACCCTTCCCTAACATGATAATATCGATCATATGGCAAACATTTCAACCCGGCATGACAGAAAGAAGTGAGAGATATAGGAGCCTCATATGTGACAGGTTCACAAAAGCCAGCGCTTCAGGCAGGCAGACATTTGTGGGAGCAGCACCCAGGTGAGTTGAGACAGTGTGCGAGCGGGGGGAAAGAGAGATTAATGCGCTAGAAAGAGAAAGAGAGCCTGTGATACTGTGCATATACAAAATAGCTGCTGTCTGCGACGGTAATGATCTCCTTTCCTCTGAAAAGCTCAGAGATGGCCTCGACTAGTCTTTCTAAGCGGATGTGTGACAGCCTCGGAAAGTCAGGAGACAGCGACCTGTCTGATAAGAAAGAAGGCGAAGGATGTGAGTGACTAAAGGAGGTGGCATTTTCCTGAGAGGAACACCTGCACATTCAGCTCTGCTGGGAGTTACTCCTGCATTACCTTCGCTCCACATCAGAGCCGCCGTGCGTGTGCGCGCAGCAACAGTGCACGGTGAACTTGAGAGTTTGTGAATTATTCATCTTTTTTCAAGTCTGTCTGTGTGAACCGTACTTACTCTTCTTTCCTTTTCTACACTTCCTGTATATACATTAAATATGTGGCATCTTCTCCACCAGATTCTGCCTTCTTCAACAGTTGCCTGACTTTAAGGGTGAGCGACGACTGACCAGAAATCAGCAAAATGCTAACTTAATAAAGAAGTGCATCGTCTTCTTTTTTCTTTTCTCTCCAGCCGGCTCACCAACAAGTGCAATTATGGTTAACAAGAGAAGGGCGAGAGTGTGGGAATCAGGGCCCTGCGCCTTTTTAACAACACATCACCCTGGGAGAGGCCGGACGTGAATGTGGATGTAAAACAAAGCAATTAAATACGCACGCTGGGTTTTGCCTTCTCCTCATTCAGGCTCCTGCATGCAGCTTGGATAAACAAATATAGACTTTGGGGGATCAGGATTTCATGCAATTTGAATTAGACAACTGGGTAGCGCACGCAAGAATTCATTATGCAGTGATTTAAGACCAGGTTGATGGATTTCCTTCTCCAAAAGACAAAAGCTTCGCAGGCTGCCCATGACAATGTGGGGAGGGACTAAAGCTGGCTAACAAGAAGATTCAAAACAGGCTTCATCCATTGTTGTTCAGTTTTACCCCTGACAGCTGCAGTTTTGTTACAATTTTCAATCATTTTTAATATATCCACCTTGCATTTCCCCTTGTGTGTTTGCTGGGAATACATACTGGAGTACAGCAACATGGCAACACTGAGGATGAAATCACATGACCAGGAGGGTGTCTACTTTTAAACATTATCAAACTTTAGAGATCATTTTTAACATCTTCACATCTCTTGTTGTAATAAAAAAGACCATGTAAGTGTTTTTCATATTTGCACTCATGAGTTATTTCAAGCCTGGGTCAGTCAAAGGTTTTTCAGTTGGGCTTCATTTCCTGCACAATGCTGGCGTGCTTGGCAAAATTTGAGATACTAAAGTGGCAGCTGTGCTTTCTATGTGCACAAAAATAACACCAGACTAGGGCTGGGCGATATGGCCTCTAATCAATATCACAATATACTGAGCTGTTCACCTCAATAATGATAAATGGACAATATCTACTCCACAAGCTGCTCACCCCCTCCCACATTAACTTTGTCTACTTCAGCCGCCGCTCCAGCCGCTACAACTTTTGAACCGTCCTCCATCTCCTCACCTGTCTTTCCCTCTTTGATAAAGACTGGATGGGGTGGAGTCACGTCTCTGACGTAGGACAGCGTCTTAAAGGGACATGAGACCATAGCCTACCTACACACATCCAAAACCAACTTTTTATTTATTTTTTTGACACCAAATATATTGACATGGGAAAAATGACATTGGTTATTGTCGTAAATTTTGCTATCGGTAAATTTTCGGTTTATCGTCTGGCCCTACACCAGACACACCTGTTTTATAATTACCTGGACAAGCTCACCTTCCAACCTGCTCAACTTCCTGAATATTACCCAATAGATTCACACTTTGGCTCATCTTGAATCTTCTCAGAAATTTAAGTCGTTGTAGCAAGAAGAAAAGATGATAAAGTCGGGGGTCGCACATGTTTGTAAAAGTGTAGTGTATGTACAAAGAGGACATGTCTGACCCTTATCACCTCTGTGACCTATCTCAAGATTATTTAAGACAACGTGAGTTTTGTTTTTAATGTATTTAAGATTCTCAGAGTCTTAAATCTGTTGATTTTTCACTTTCTCTTAAAATTGAGTGCTGCTACATATTTTGACAAGTGAGCAACAAAAGGCCAGGCTGACTTTCAAAGGCCCCGACCTTTATCAAAAACAAATGATTTACATGTCTAGACTCACTCTCACTCACACAGACAAAACTCACAGCTTCACACTTCACAGTCAACACAGTACAGCAAACTCCTGTCAAGAAAAATCACAGTTCCTCAACAAATCAATCACCCGGAGCATCTGGTGTAATAACACACTCGTTTTTCCCATTTGGGTTAGACAGCCTGGCCACACAAGCTTAGCTCTTATACACACACACATAAACACACATTCATGCACAAATAGGCCAAAGCAGACAGGGAGGCATAATTACCTTTCCTTTTGAGGAAGTCAAGCTTTCAATTTAGAAAAGTATAAATAGTCATTAAGAAACCACCACGTAAAACCAAGAGAACATAAACGGCGACTCGGGTTTCTGACACACTGCAAACCCCAAAAAGTGGTTCAAGTCTGTGAGGGAGAAGTGTGCTCCAGCAGCAGGTTCTTGGAGAGTCTTCAGAGTCTCGTACTTTATTTTTATCCTGATGAATATGCCGACAAAGACGAATGGACACGATGGAGTGATATTCATAATCATTGATCATGATAATGATGATACTGTCAAAGATGGCAATGACAGACTTGTACAGTCGCTCTGAGACAAATGAAGACATAATGAGAGAGCGGAGAAATACTGTAAGTCCTGCTGGATTTGAGCTACACTGCCAAGATGAGGAATCTAAAACTTCGACTGTACAGACACTGCAGCGAAAGAAACAGATCATTGTGGAGGAAAATGAATGAGTCCTGTGACTACAAACAACCTCAAATGAATCTGCTTTGAAATACTTGAACAGCCACTGAGAAATGTTGCTTTTAACTTCATAACAGATGTAATTTTCCGTAATTTGGATATTTTAAGAATTTTTTTAGTTTTATAAGCTCTTCCTATTAGTTAATATGACACTCGACATCATTATTTGAAGGTGAAACGGCGACGACGAACTCAGTGAATGTAAAGTTTGTTGTTGCATTTAAGGACACGGCTGAAAAAATGCCAGAGAACTAAGCCTCCTAGAAAAGTCTTGACGGTAAAACACTGAAATAAAGCCGCAGCGTTGTTTCTATCACACAAATGGAAACGTAACCTGCATTAAATTTTTATATTTACAACTAACAGCGAGTTTTTAAAAAATAATACCAGTTGTACAGAGACGGGTGTGTGTCCTGAGATAACCGAATACACACGACCTGACAGGTTGCATTTAAATGCCATGTCTTTGAAGGGAAAAACTGGACACACACATGCACACACACACTTCAATTGGACTTGTAACCTCCCTATTTGGAGTACATCAACAACTGTTGAGAGTGTACATTTGCAGTTGAATAAAACATGGTACTCCCCTACACACGCTGTCACACACATCACAGGGGAAACTAGGGGGTGAGTGGTTCTTGACTGTCTAAGCAGCATCCCAATTTGGTCCCAGCTACTAGTAGCTGACAGCCTCAAATATCTGGGGAGCATTTTTAAAAGGCCAGTGTTTGATGGATTCATGAAGAACACACAAATATAATTGCCATTTGTCACTGAGTCTTCAGCGGCTGTGCCACACAGGGACCGAGCACCGCAGCGCCTGGAGAGCGATGGAGCTGCGCCAGAGCTGTGCGGAGGATCGCTCTGTATGTAAAACCGAGTATATAAACACCTCCGTTTTTGTCACAGAAAATAGGTCCTACAGGAGGGAGCTGGAAATTGTACCCAAAAGACACAAGAAAAAAGAGGAGTATATACATATGTCACAAGCCTACACACACACACACACACACACACACACAAGCACAGATGCACACTTAGAGGCAGACCTACCGAGAGGAAATATGCATGCATGCATGTCAACTATAACAGAGCTGTATAAACAAGAAGTCTAAAATAGTCAAGAACATGAAAATATAACGCAGAGGTCAAACAGGGCAGCACACAGATTCTCATTTGCACACACAGCTACGCCGAGAGTCGCAGGTAAGTCAGGGAGAGGATTGAACAACGGCACGAGCTCTGTGTTTCTAAAGCTCAGTCCTTTTTAATATTAATGCCCCAGAGACAGAGAGGGAGAGGGAGAGGAGAGACGAAAAGGTGTTTGCCTAGGCTTATTAGAATGCCCATCATCGCGAGCATACAGTTATTCAAATGTCACATCATGTCAGCCAAATAAACACCACAATCCAGATCTTGTATTTATCTGGTAATGGCCGTTATTACACAACGCTGCGAGTTTGTCAGTTAACGCCGGATAGAGTACGAGGCTGGAAGAGTCGCCTTTATTTTCTTTAGGAGTTTTAAAACAGCAACTTGCGAGTGTACACAGTCACAGCTAGCTCTGAGATGCTAATTTTGCTAATACAGCCTGCCGTTTGTTTATCTTTTTATGCTTTCTATTAAAAAAAAAAACATGTATATTTTCTGCTTGGCTGCCCATGTACCTGCATGATTGAAATGCTAATTTGTAAATGTGCAATGACCTAGCCAGACTCCTCTTACCACACACCACCAGCACCAGCACCGCATCCCCCTCCTCCTCCATCCTGCCAAAACAGCCTGAGGTATCATCTCTCCTCCCAACAAACAGCGGCACGTGGAGCAGCCCCTGCCTTTCAATCCAAAGGGATATATTTTCTCATTAGAAATTATACATCTTCCCTGGCCATATTTATAGACGCAAAACCAGGGGAATTATACTGCATGGAGAGAGTGAGAGACACACAGTGAGAGTGGGGAAAATAGTACAATGAATGTTATTACAAAGAGCTCTGATTGAAATTTTCCTTGGGCGTATCAAAGCCTCGTTTACCGTTTGACCTTCCAAACTACGGGACAAGGACTTTCTTTATTGTCTGGAAAAAACGCATTCGGAAGACCAGACAAGCGACTCCAAGATCATTATTCAAGTGTCCCCCGCACAACAAAACCCAGAACTGTGATTAGCATCAATATAATGCAGATATCAGCGGTGTGAAATGAGAGCAAATTGGCGATGTCAACCGGCAAGTGGCGACCAAGGCCGAGCATTTGGTTTGAAAATTAGCCCGTTGACGCTTGCGTTTGCAGAGAGGACAGCGACCTGACAAAGGCTAACAGAAATGTCACTTGTTTCAACAGATATTTCGAAAAAAACGCGAAGCCGGGCGTCACGCAGCCTTCACGGTGTTGTCAGTTTATCCACACACGCGTGATGTTTTGTATTTATCCAAGATAAAATGATGATGATGGGGAAGGAGCGGGTGGTGATGACCGCTGAGGATTTCTAAATTACCTGCTCTGATATTGGATCCTCATCAGCAGAAGTGACAAGCTCTGTGTGTGTGTGTGTGTGCGTTTGTTAACCTGCTACAGAACTCTATTAGCTCTCGTCACCTGTCAAGCCCGATCATATTGTGTAGCATCTCATTTAAGCATGAAACATCACATTTCACCTGTTTTTTTTTTTTTTTTTTCGAGCCTCATCTCAGGACAGTGGCTCTACGTTGCTCAACTCCGTTTCGGTGGCGACGCGCTTATTTCCCACCCTGTTTTTAATTCTTAGCGACAGTCATTTAAATTTTGCTCCTCCAACCTGCTGAAAGGAAAGTGACACGTGAAGACAGAGCTTAACATTATTTCCTAGCCCCCCTTCTTTTTCAGCCCCTCCTCTCCGCAGCCGCCTTTATGCAACAAAGAGAGAAGCAGGGCGTTAGGGACTTGCTAATTTCAAATTTTGCTGCTGATTGAGTGGAAAAAATAACCCCTTCGGACCTTGTTCTGCTTAATTACATTTTACAGTAGAAAAGGCAACTTGAAAGACAAGAGCGTGATTTGACGAACCTCTCAGCATACTCATTGCACCGGGCTGGTTAAGGTGTGTGTGTGTGCGTGATGGGTATCTGGTGGTGGGAGGGAAGGGGGTCATCAATTATCCTTTGATTTCAAAACGGAACATTTTCCCAGATTAATATGTCTGACTGCTATCTAAATCACTGAAACTCCCAATGAGATGCCATTTTCTCTTACATGAATCACATTGAGGGGGAGTCATGCACACTTTCCCCACCCCGCCTCACCCCCGAGCTCTGACCACTGCAGGGCTCTGGTCTCTCCACTGTTGTGTGGAATTTGGCAGGGTGCTAATTTTGAGTGCTGCTAATGTAGCAGAACGCAGGACATCAAGGAGCGTTCAAAGCCTCACAACCTGGCTGCTGTTCGAGACACTAAATGGGGCCTTTTTCTCTCCTTTCCCTCATTCCAGAGATGAATTTGTACAAGAGTGTTTCTGCATTAAGCTTTGTCAAACGCCTTTTCTTCTCCCTCATCTGTTTCTCACCAGCCAAGAAGAGGAGAAGAGGAGTGCAGGAAAAAGAAAAGACAGCCGAGTGCAGTATCTTTAAAAAGCTGCACATCTTGCACGGATTTAGGCTTTACACGGCTAGCTACCGCAATTTCTAGAAAGATCAATTATGACGTGACTCAGAGCAGGCCTGAGGGAGCTGCCAGGCTCCATACTCCAAAAACGTGCTCCACCCTCTCCTTCGCTGACAACTCAAAACAAAACCAGAGCAACAGAGCGGGAGCGAGCGGGGCGGGTGGGGAGGGAAGGAGGGGAACGGGGGTATTTTCAGTTTCAGTTACATCGATGACTCAAATATTCCACCAGCTTCAAAATCTCCTCGCTGAAGTAGAAGTTCCACAGGAAACTCGCTCGTTTGAAATTCAACGGCAGGCGCGCAGACACGCACATGCGCACATTCTTGCTTGTACACATATACACAAGGGCACACGCATGCAAAAAACTGAGACAACCGCACTCCAAATACAGCGTGCAGCAGATCCCCTGTTGGAGTCTGAGATGAGGATCTACCACTCCCTAAAAGCCAAAATAAAGCTGAGGTCTGTCTCCGGGTCAGAGAGGGGATAGGCAGTCTATCAAAATACCCCCACATCTAGTTCCTTTATTTGCTCAGTATCAATCTCAGCATTAACCCTCTGCTAATGGGACAGCTGTGGGTCAGCGCCTCGCATCTTCGGGATGCCAATCAAGGCCTTAAGCTGAGAGATCAGCCTTTGGGACAGAGGTGCTCGTCTGCCTCTGAGTGGCTTTTTAAACACGGAGACGCCTGTATCGATTTTGGCTCCTTCCTGAAAGAGAGGAGAGAGTGGGGGAGTAGACATAGAGGGGGGGTGTATTGCACTTGCCAGGGCCTGTGTTGGCTGTTACTGTCTGTGAGTCTGGACGGGAGCCAACCCGTGGTCCCTGGTCACCCTCTGCTGATCAGGAGGGGCCTGACAGAATGACCTAGCAGAGAGGCATTGAACCTGCAAACACGAAGGGGGCAAGAAGCTGGAAGCTTGAGGGGTTCAGGGCTGGTGGGGGCAACATCAGCAGAGATCTCGGTAATAGAAAAGGGTTTTAACCTTAATGTTGGAGCCAAAACCCTGTTAGAGGCCAAGTAATCCCCCCTGTGCTGCTCTCATTTGAACTGGCTGATTTTTTTTTTTCTCCCCTCTCTGTGAGTGGCTTGTGATAGGACTGACGCCGTCTTGTGTGGCAATTGGTAGAAGGGCAGTAAACAAGAGCTGAGCTGACCACCTTGATCAAAGCGAACGAGGCTGGTTAGGGACAAAAAAGGGTTGGCTAAATTACATTTAAAATTGTTTATAATGTTGTATAAAGCTACTTAGACTCCAAATGCTGGGCTTAAGCTCAGTTCGAGGCACTTGTTTCGCTTCATATTCTCACTACATTTCTGTTTATTTATGAACCCCATTAGTTTAAAAGCCTGTATACTTGGGCTGCACGATATTGAAAAAACTAACATTGCAATTTTTTTCAACCCTGCGATACATATTGCGATATTAAAAAATACAAGAATTTTCACCAGATGACCTGAATAGCACTTTATGCTATGCTACACTGCTGAAGTCTTGAGGACAGTTAACCTGCACTGATCTTAACTCTTTTTGTGAATGTTAGCAGAATGGCTTCTGTCTGTATTAGAGATCTTTTAAGCTTGCTTTTATTGTGCTGGGACATTATTGTGGCAACAGATGAAATGCATGTAACCGAACACATGTAACCGAAATAATTCCAGATAACTGACTTTCCTTTTCTTTTTGGCTTCAAGTCTTAATTTTCAGTGGTTTTCTCTTGTTCGTTGCTCGTTTTGCAATCATTGTTGTTGTTACCAGTGTTGTGCCGAGAAACGCATGCCCGTCGAGAATTGCATGCACCTCGCAAAATGCGCACAGTTTATAGTAGAGTGGTCCACAGAAATGTACAATTTAAAACCCGTGCAATTCTTATTTGTGGGGCTAAAAAGTGATGAGTAATATCCTGAGAGTAATTCTCGGTGGGCACGCGTTTCCTGGCACAACACCGCAGCACCAGCAACTCACTCCATGTGCAGGGGCGTGGTTTCCTCCTCTCTGATTTTGATTGATGGCTGGCAGGGTAGTCTGACTGACAACTGAGTAAAGAACGAATGGGTTTTATCAAATGTTTTGCCTGGTGCATGTCTGTAGACTGAACTCAGACACAATAGGAAGAGGTTAAAGTTGCACACTTGCCTCATAGTAACATTCATTTGTTCTCAGTGTTGCAAAAATGTGAGTGCAGGACTCCTTTCTTTTCTGCTTTTATACCTCAGTTTTGCCGCTGTTAAAAAAAAAAGTAAAATACTTCAACTTTTCCTCAACTGCTGCAGATATCTGATGCACAAGAACCATTTAAAAAATGAAGGTCAAGTGGTGTTAAGACAACTTGGAAAGATTACTCTTCATAACCGAAAGCTCTGCAGTGAAGAAAGAAAAACACTCTTCCTCTACAATCAGAGTTCATATATGTTGCCTGGTATCTTGCATAAGCACTTAAAAGGCTGCAGTCCATGAATCGAGGTATGCATATCTAATCATTTGGCTCAAGTATTTTGAATATCTTTTAAAAAAATTAAGAGTGAATAGGCTTGGGCACTTCGGGTAAAATATGCTAATTAACACACTTGAAATTTCCCATATGAAATCTATCTGCAGCAAGACAATGAGAAAATAATTACAACAGAGGTAGAATTACAATGGCCATTTTAATCAACCCCTACACTAGCATTTCACCCTATTTATACAGTTTTTGATTCCATGACCCACTGGTAAGTAATCACTTGAAAATTACGGTTCAGTTTATAATAGGTCTTTGCTTTAGACACATAATTTCTGCAGAGACAGGGCTCTGAGGATTACAATGAAGATATGAATCTTGCATAACAACAATCACTGTGCAGTTCCTATAGGAGAGGGGGAAAAGAACACTGGCATGAGGTTAAAAAGTAATGAGAGTGACGAGTACTTCAGCAACTTTGGAATATACATGAGGCAACGCCTGATGGTCCAGGAATGTTGATTCAACACTCAGCCTGCAAAATATTTCAGCACTGATAATGAAAATGATGATGAGGAGGCACTTGCCCTTTGTTTCATCCTCGTATAACTTCTCAAACCGTCTAGTATCATAAGGCTTTATAGTTTGGAGTGTAAATTTTAATTGTTGCACTGTCAAGGAATCTTTTTCTTGCAAGAGAAGTACAAGTGTGACCATTCAAACAATCCCTTTTTACTGCATTTATTAGGGGTCACAAATTCACTTCCAAAAGGTCAATCCTGCACACAGGTACTAACCTTGGAGGTGTGCCACTAAAGCGCCCAATCAGGGATTCACACAAAGGCCACACTAATGTCTTCCTTTAAAAAGAGTCGTGTTATTTGACCTTCCTTCCTCACTACAGAGTTTTACTGAGATAAAAAAAAAAACACACCATTTTCAGGAGCTAGTAAGGTCAGCTTTATCAACCACAGGAGCTTTAAAATAAGTATTTGACAATCTGGTGAATAATGTGACGATTAAACCCCCCAAAACTGGTGCTGGGTGGTGGCAATTTATTCTGAAGCAAGGGTGGGAGAGCCAAGGTCCTGTTTGCAGGAGATATCAGCTGCTTGAAAACCCTGAACAGTCTCCTGAGGAATGTCCGTCTCCCCCACAAGATTCTCCCTCCTCCCCCAGGATGGCAGAGCCACAGAGGAACTGTCTCTGATGAGAGCCCTACAGGAAGGGCAGGATTGTACATTTTTTCTGTCTAGCAAGCTGCAGCGGTTTGAAATTCCTTGGAACTGCCACATTTTCTAACAGTGGAAATTTATAGACTTTGTAGCGGTGATTTCAGGGGTTTTGTAACTTCGTTTTTGAGAGGTATGCACGCTGTGCTCCGAACGGAACAGCTTTAATCCAATAAGGAGTGTTTACTTTCCTGTTTTCAGAGCATCCTCTGCTTTAAAAGACAACTTGTCAAAACAACGTGATCCTAACTGAAATAGGATCGGTGCTGTTATTCCAACATCACAATAGGCTTCCTTTTGTTGTGAAAAGTGGTCCTGCATATACTGTACACAGGCTTTAAATGGGACAACAGCGAGGGATGGGGAGGGGGCGACCAAGGCCAGGGCCAGGATGTAGGCAGGCAGATGATTTCTTATTGATTTCCTGTTTCTCCACTGAGTAGGGCTCTCAATTACCCATACCACCGAGTAATCTGATTGGTCAACTCAACAAACAAAATTCCAGAGAGGCTGTGACACAAAGAGGCTCAAGAGGCTGGAGCCCGAAGAAACTCTGGTGTTTAACTCTCACAAAAGGTTATCATAGCACAAATTTGTAGCTGCCTCTTTGTTCTTCGTGACTGTTTTCTGTTCTTGTTACTCTCTCTGAAGAGAAGTGGCGCATCTTCCTCCCTCTACAATTCCCTCAGCAGACAGTTTGTGTGTGTATGAGAGAGAGAAAGCGTGTATGTGTGGATGCTGAGGGGGGGGTGACATCAATTACAACGCAAAACTGTTGTCACAGGGGCTTATCTGCTGAGATGAAAGAAAAGCATGCCTCCCCCCCCAGAAGTGCAATACTCCACACACCTGCCAAGCTAGAAAGACCTCTTGACAGAAAATCTTTTTTTTTTTTTGCAACTGAATCTCTTTTTCCTCCTGATTCAGTAAACAAGCCACCGGCAAGTCATTAAGCTTAATACAAAAAGAGACAGGAAAAAAAGCGCCCTGGAAAAGTTAACAACCTAGAGACAAAAGAACTGTTGTGGCAAACGCAAAAACACATTTCTTATTATAGCTTGGCACTTGCATGGATGGAAGCAATCAGCTGCTATTAGCCTTTGCCTGACACGTCTCACTCTTCTTAAGAACAATAAAACACACAAAAGCTTTTAGCCCATTTCCTTTTGTGACCTGCAATCCGTAGCTGAGTATCAGGTCACTCTTCTGAATAAAAGTGCATCGACACTTAATAAGACCTGCTTATAACTCAAGCACATCAATGGCAAATAATTGTTTAGCAACATCTCTCTGTGTCAGGACATTTGCATAATACAATGTGGTGGTTTCAGGGCGGCAGAGCAGTTTTCAACACTTTTACAATCAAACTGGAAGACTATCTTAAAACTTCGGATTTATGAAGGAGCAATAAATCCCAGCTGTGTCACCTTTATCTGTTGGCTTAGAGTAACTCCAAAAAAAAGGGTCAAATGCCTCCAGCAGCTGCCACAAATCGTTTCCAATAGGTAAATGTTTGGTACAGTGTAAAAACATTGTGGCTACGGAGTAATCAGTGCCTCAAAAACAGTCGATGCCAGAACCACAAAGAGGATTTCCCACTTCCCAAACAGAGCCCCGAGGGCTGGAAGGAGAAACAAAAAAATGAAGAAATGAGCCAAGTCCTGGTCATTATGGCTGAATGAAAGAGCACGCATGCTACATCTCACTTGTCAAAAGGCTTCAGTGCTATCTTAATATTATTTCAGTTTGTAAAACCGGGGCTAATGTTTATTTTGGCTAACGGACCATGCCTTGTGCGTGTGCAACTGTCTCAAAATCGACTATTCCTGGAGTCTGTTCATAAAAAACAAAAAATTTGCAGCATTTAAATGTTACATAAAACATCTCTAAACACCTACTGCCGTTAAGCTCAACCATCTGACCTAGCAGGCAAAATATGTTAATCATTTTCACTCACCAATTAAACGCCTCATTGTTGTTTATCATTAAAAATAACACCATGATACCCTGCTGTCCGCCTCCAGCTTTCCCAGGTCGTTAAAACTTACTTCTGACAGGCTCGCAATAATTAGGCTTCTCCTCAGTCATGTGACTTTGTCCTTCACTGGCTGGTTTCCTGGGAGACTGTGTTCGCCCTGATGATTCACTGTCGCAGGCATCTAGGGTCACAAGCATTCAAAGTTAAAACATGGTTAGAAGAGGAAAAGTTGTTGCACACAAAGTTAAGCAACAAAATATTATGGTGCATAGTTAAAACAGACGAGCGCTCCGGTTGTTTACTTTAATGTTATCCCATTACGAGCTAGACTGTTCTGAATTAGCGTGCATTACGGACGTTCCTCCAAAAACAGATGTAAACTTTCAAAGCGGGGTCAGTCGCAGTGGACAAAATATCAGAGACAGCTGGAAGAGCAAAAGGTGCAGAGGCCGCTTTGCCTATCTCTGCCAGAAAAAACACAGGCCGCTGGCAAATGGTTGCACAACATAGTGGGGCGGTTCAGGTAGAGGCCTTGCCAGACCTCTGGATCTCATTTTCTCTCCTTCTGTTCCCGGGTGTGCTCTACCTGCCAAGCTGCCTTTTTTACTGCCATAAAGGCTGCATTCATCTAAATTGGAAAAAGTATGCAGGCAAAAATACTTGAGGCTTGATACCTCAGCTTGCAAAAGCATGAGAGACAGCTCCACTCATCTCCTAAAGCCGTGACTTTTGGCTTTTTGACTTCAAGACACTCTGACGCTTTGCTTGACGCACACAGCCACTCTGTTCAGTACATAAACCTTCCGCAATGACTTTATTCACTGGTCTGGTGCCAGAAGCTCGCTTTTAGCCTACAAGTTCTGGAGTAACATACTGTTTTTGGTTTTTTTTAGCTCTGCTGCTGAAATTCTCACAAAAAACTGTTGAAGAATGATTCAGCATCATGCTGATCAAAACTTGATGTATTTGTTCCAACACTACAACACTCTCTGTTTGTAAGCAGTGATGGATGGGGGAGTGGGACCAACAGGCACAGGCCAGCAGCCCCAGATAGATGTGGCACATATCTCGGTTTGGAGCTGATCTATGGTAGCGGCACTTGCACTGTGATGCATCGCAGTATTTAGTGATCACAGTTAGAATTAAATTGCTCTATTCTCAGTACATCTATAGTCCCTTGAGAGGGGAAATCCAGTCTTCACTGCGAGCGCCTTTGAAGGGTCCGGCGAAAATCCATTCGCAATCCAGCAGCCCCAGTGATTGCTTACTTTGTCCTACTTTGCTATTTTTTGACAGTGCCATAATGATGCTTGGTATAAATAGGCTGGTTAACGGTTCATTGCTTGTTTGAAGAAAAATGAAAAGGGGGTGTGGGGGTAAGCTTATTTTACATGTGATAATCTTTGGGGCAACTAGAAAGTTAATTAAAAACTATAATTGGCTGTGGTTGCTGTTAATAGTCACCAGGGCGTTTCTTCAGACTTTATTGAGGGAAAAAAGCAAAAAAAATATTATCGAGGCTTAACACTGGAGCACACAGATATTGATGTACACTAAAAAGTCACATGAATGTAATTTAAAAAGACACGGCTGATATTGTCCACTCAGACTGATTAAGCAGTAATCTGTTACACATTCACAGATTAGTCTTCTTTAGGTGGTTTTTCTCTTGTTTGCTTTCTTGTTTGACTGTACAGACAGCATGACTTCTTGATGGTTTATGTCAGGGATATATATATAGCTGTGTTTAATTACCCAGGCACTCCATAAACATTCATATGAAAGAGCTTCCTGTGCACAAAAGCAACACCTTCCAGAGATTTCTGCAGGTTTGAAAGTCTGCGTCCTCAATTTGAGATGTTTTTAACAAGAATTTCATCTCAGAGTAGGATTATATTGTAAGATAAGAGGTTATTTACAGCATGATTTAACCTGTTTATGAAATATTAGACCTCCAAAGTGCCAAATGCCCAACTTTGACCACTCAGTTGAGCTTTCACAGCCTCTGTTTTTAGTTGCTAGTTGTCTGGACTATTCTTACCTTGAGTCGCTGACAGAAGGGGACTTTTCTCTTGCTGGGGGCCCTTCTCCGGCCCTGCCAGCCCATCCGCAGGAAAGACGGTCTCCTTGGACATGAGACAGTCGTCTATTTGGGACAAACACAGCACAAGTAGTTCCTCCCTTTCCTCAGCCCTCGGCGCTGTAAAAAACAATGTCTCACCATCAGCAACACGGTAGAAGTCATTACTCACCTTCAGAAAGTCGTCTGCTTATTCACACACTGAGAAAGTGACGTCGAGCTGCAGTTAAACTTAGTGGAAATTTCCCTGCCCTGGCTTTTTTACGTAAACTTGCAGCCACATGCAGCCCATTTGTTCACATGCTCCATTTTCTTTATCAAAACTCGACGGACGCTTTTAAGTGCTGTTTATAGCAGAAGAGAGCATATTTTCACAAAGCTTAACTCACCTTTCAAACATGACAACTCCCTCGCTTCAAATGTGACTTATTCCCATCCTTCCTTCCTCCTACACTTTCCCGAGACGCTAGGAAGAAAAAAACAACCAAGTCCGCGTCCGACAAGTTTCTCTGGAACTTCACTCGGAGTATATCTCTGCCCAACTTTGTCCGGACTTTGTTAGTGTACATAAACTATCAATAAGAGTCCTCGGACGCCGTCGACGCTGAGTGGCAGTACTTTGCTGAAGTCTGAAACATTTTCATCATATCCGGATTCCTGAAGTGGAGCCAGTGAAGCTTCTCTTCTCTCCCTTTGCTGCACTTTGGAGGCAGAGAAAGCGAGCAGAGCCCTCCCTAAACATGTGTCCGCTAAGATTAAGTTAAGAAAACCGGAAAACAACTGAAACTGGAGGGGGAAAACCACGCGGTTGACCTTTTCGCGTTTTATCTGCTACGAATGCGTCAAAAATGAATATGAGAGTTACTAATCAGAGTAAACTACCGCCCACCTGTCAAAGTTTCTTCATCTGTAGAGCATATTTACGTTTCATAGATACATCTATCTTCTCAAATCCAGTTCACAAACACACTATAAACTCCAAGTTATTGTCAGAGTTTGCACTTTTGCAACATTTATCTTCTAGACTTGATATACCCATAGACTGTATAAACTATGGACAACTTGGTTCCGCCAGTATACGGATTTGAAGCCAAAAGCTCTTGGTAATTCCGTGTTTTTTCCCCACTTCCTGAAAACAACACTGCGCAGTAGCGTTGTACGCATTCGGCGGGAGAGTCGCTGTGATGAGGCTCGGCTCAAACAGCATATCCCCGGGTGAGCCACGCAATCCCTGAATGCCAACAAGCTGTATCAAGTGTCAATCTAGTAAACATGAACCCTCGAATAACTTTTTAAATCGGAGATGTACAGAAAAAAGAGGACTTAATCGCAAGCAGGGGGGGAAATTATGTTCTGTGTAATAAATTTATAAAGTTTGTCCACAGCCCCATAAGCTTTGCTGACAGAGGCGGGATTTATGACCTATACTGCAGCTCATCACCAAATGGTGCAAGGAGGCAGACGCTGTCCATATAGTCTATGGATATACCATAACTGGTACCACATGATCAATGTAGGAAGTCCTGGTCACATGATCCCTATGAATTTATTCACAAAGGGCTACTTTCACAGTCTGCATGGTCAAAACCAACAGAAATCAAACATAGACGTTTATTAGAAAATACCCACTGAGCGTTTTTGTGGTCTAAAAGAGGTCTAATAGACGTCTAAATGTAGCCTAGACGACTGGTCTAAAATCAGGCTACCACAGGTCTAAAAATGAAAGTTTTTTTACAAGTCTAAATTTAGACCAAGTTTAAACCAAGTCAAATGCTGCATTCGAGTTCACTCGGAAGTCAGATGTACAAGCAGGGAATGACATCACACCTGAGTTACCGGCGTTTCAGTTACCAAGTTGGTAAAAAGCAAAATCGGAGGTGGAAACAAAATGGCTATATCTACAAAAGTTATTTTAGCGTTTGCCTTGTCTGAATATAAGGCAAGCACTAAAATAACTTTCGTAGATGTAGCCATCTTGTTTCCACCTCTGATTTTGCTTTTTTCCAACTTGGTAACTAAAATGCTGGTAACTCGGGTGTGACGTCATTTTCAGCTCCGACATCTGACTTCCGAGGTAACTTAAACGCAGCACAAATCTGGGCTGTAATACTACACTGTATGTTGCTCCACAGCTATCATTATTTTGGTTAGGTACTTGGAGATCAGTTATGTAACTCACAGTTGCTTTTTGACACAAACAGTTATTGAATAATGGATGAAAGTGCAACGTCTAAATTCCATCAAAAATACTTTATATACAGTGCATTATTGTTTGCATATTCGTTTTCCATACAGTGAGGTCACTGGGGCCAATAGAAACATGAAGGAGAAGTTAACTGCAACCAAAATCACAAGGCTGGAACTCCAGTTTTACTCCAGCAGCAAGGTTAGCCCCTGGCCAAACCTATCTCTATGAAGAATATAAAAAGAACTGCTGCGGGAAGTCAGCTTGGAAAGTTCGCCAATATGAGTTAAAAGTTTGACAACTTGAAGTACACACCAGACTTATAATCTAAACAACCTCTTCCAACATCATCTCCCAGTTTTCTCCATTTCAATTCATATCTAATTCACTTTGAATAAATGGCAACTCTGCCTGGTGCTGTGTCCTCTGTCGAGTCAGTGGGATATTGTTTAGTGCAGCGTTTTACTGATTGCCATCATAGCCATTGAACCCTATTGGTAACAGTAAAAGTGAGATTTAAGCCTGGGTAACATGAGAGTGTGGAGGTGATTGATGTGAAATATGCCCTCCCTCATTGACTGGCTGAACTCCATTTTCTGCTCCTAATGCAGAAATCACTCCGGGTCCCCAGCATAATGATTTACGATGAATCTGTGTCAATGTTGAACTCGGCAAACCCCACGTAATCCATCTTGCAGATATACCTACCTACCCCGCCCCACCTTGCCTGCTCTCGCACGCCCGTCCCCTGCCTTTCACGACGGGGAAGGTAAGGAATGCGTCTCTCTCTCTCTATAAGTGTTGAATCCATTACAGAGCTGATGTGTAATCACAGAGGACCTCTGTGCCCCCTCAGACTGTAATTACCTGGATACAGATACTCCCTCACTCCATCCCCTAGAGCTGCTCAAAGCCAAGAACTCTGTTAACCAGCATGCAGTGCTTTCAGCCTGCCTATCTGGGTGGCAATGTGGAGATAGATTTGAGAGATGAGGCCTGTAAGAAAAAAAATCATGGATAAAATTGCATTTAAGTAATGGGATTTTGACCTTGCAGTGCGTAATGGCCATAGTTCACCTCGGAGATTGAATCATGCACAGAGCAAATCAAAGCCTGCACCTCGAAAAACTGACTCCAGAGCCCCCCCTCTTTGGATCCCCCATATGGAAATCTTCAGAGTGTACATGCAATATGACTGCAGCGTGAAATCAACCCCGTTGTCTCTCTTACATAGTGACATCGCTGTTGCTGCTGACAAACATTATCTTGTGTGTGATCATGTGCACAGTGTCACCCCCATCCCTCCCCCTCCTCCCCCCTTCAAAATAAGTCAAAGTGGAGCTGGCTGTGTAGACACAGTGGGCTGTCACACTGTGTCAAGCCTCGGTGTCAGCACTGCATCTGTTGCAGTCACATCTGAAAAGACACAAGGAAACGTCTCTCTGTTGACTTCATCTGTTTGTTTGGCAGCCTGCCTGATTGCTGGAGTGTGTAGTGGCGAAGAGAAGCGCCGGCTCAGTCGCTGCCGACAACCCTAATCCTCCTTTCACTGGGAAAAGGAGGGAATCTGGCCCCCAAACAAACACACATCTCTGTTTGTGACTTCCCCTTGGCACACACACAAACAGTCACACACACACACGCACACCCCAAAAAACACTCCCACTGGAGGCAAACACAAAACACTCCAACTGCACACACTCTGCAGTAAGCCAAGCGCTGTAAACTTATGTCGCTGAGCTTGAACAGATTACATGAGCAGAATAACAATTGTTCTTTTGAGCATTTTTGGCAGATGATTTAGTTTAGCACAAATCTGAATATGGGGAAACAATAAAACTGGATCCATTTAAGGGTAAAAGGTGTACACGGATCCCTCCTTCTTATTATGTTACATATAATTTGTGTAATTTTATCAAATTTTATTTCAAAAAAATTGATGACTTCATGGCACTAAAGCTGTAAATTTTTTTGTTTGTTTGTTTGTTTTTTCCCTGCTTTGACTTTTGAACTCACAGACGTATTTTTATTGATGTTTATTTTTCTTTGCCTGTGTCTGAGTTGATGTAAATTTTTAAATATGACAGTTGTTTTATATATCTAAGATATGTATGCTGTTTTTGTCTGTCTTTTCCATGTATTTTTCCTCATTTAAAATAAAAAAATAAATTTAAAAGAATCTGAATATTGGGGCTGCATTTAAAGGTAAAAGGCGTACATGGATTCTTCTTTCTTATTGGGTTCAATACAATTTGTGTAATCTAATCAAATTTTTTCCAAAAAAAGAGCAATGACTTCATGGCTTTGAAGCTGTAAAACTGCTGCCCATGAGATTTGCACAAATGAAGCTACAGCATGAGCCAAAGTGGCCTGACCCAGTCTGTGGGTGAGAATAACCACAGTGAAGACTCAAAAAATGATCCTCTCATCTATTATCTATTTTTATGAATTACACCGGGAACATTGATTCATTTTTTGTAAGCTAACCTTAAGTTAAATGCTAAATCTGCACAAACTAGAAACAGTAGATCTACAGACTATTATCACTGTTACTAAGTTGAATTAAATGGACTCTTAAAATCTTTTAGGTCTTTATTTGATATCCAAGACTCTAATGCAACCAAAGTCTTATTTCCTAAACTTAGGGTGACCATATTCTGACTTCCAAAAAAGAGGACACAACTATGCGGGGGCGGAGTAACACAAAGTTAATTTCGAGAGTGTTTCGTGTTGTATTGAGTGTCCTTCACGGGCTTCTAACTCAGTAAGTCCACGTGACACAAACTCGAAACTTACGTACAAAACTGCAGACATTTGAAGGATTTTATAAACTTCCCAGGACAAAGCCGGACAAACCCAGACAGCCTGGC